CAAAATTGCCTTTGAATTTTGCGATATGAGACCTTTATTGTTGAATTCCTCATAAGCGAAAACATAGGAATACACTACTTCTGAGCACTTTGTGAACTACTGTACAATTATTTATTTTTTGAAAAAGTTTCTTAATAACAAAAGTATGTGGACACCTGAGGAAGTCCAAAGTTTGGCTCCAGATCTGCAATCCATTTTTATGGTCTCTAGTCCCCATTAACCTGTACTCATACCTCGTCGTGGTAGTCCTCCCTACGAAGACGAACAAGCTCGGATTCGAGCTTTCAGTGCTGCAGGACACTCGAATAGAGAAATTGCAAGATAGCTTGGACTTTCGGCGACGTGCGTTGGTATATACCTCCAGAATCCTGATGGCTACCACTCAGTACCTGTTTCGAGGCACCCACGATCTTTGTCCGCAAAAGACATCAGAAGAATGGCCTCAAACTCCCCGCTTTCTGTGGCACAGATCCATGCCGCGATGAATCTACCGGTCTCAAAAATGACAATATGGCGCTCTATTCGATCAAGTGAGCACATCACTCGAGAGACCATGAAGAAAGCTCCCTGTCTGACTGCCAGGCACCAGCTGGCAAGACTGAACTTTGCGCGTGCAAAAATGGCGACGTCGTGGGACAAGGTGCAGTTTCTTGAGATATTTGTAAAATCAGAAAGGCAACATCTTATGCGCATTTCTTTCTTAGGTTATCTTCACTGATAAGAAAAAGTCAATCTCGACGGTCCAGATGGATATCAGCATCACTGGAAAGGCCTTTGTAGCGATCCGTTGGTGTTCTCGAGACGAAATTTCGGAGGCGCCTCTTTGATGGTACGGGGTGGTTTTGGAAGCAGAGGAAAGTTGGAGCTTGCCTTCCCATCGTGCTGTATGAACAGTGAGGAATACCAAGGAGTGCTTGAGTCTAACCTCTTGCCTTTTCTGAGCGGGCCACGACGCAGGACACATGTGATGCAGCAGGACAACGCCGCCGTGCATGTTTCAAATTCTACTAGAAAATGGCTCCAACGCAATGGTATCAAAGTGATTGATTGGCCGGCGTGTTCTCCTGACTGCAACCCAACCGAAATCCTGTGGGGAATCATGGTTCGACGAATCTACATGAACAGTGGGCAGTACAACAGCGTGCGAGACTTGAAGGAGGCGGTAGTTGCTGCATGGGAGGAAATCGACGAAGACACCATGACAAATCTTGTCCACAGCATGCCAGACAGAATGTTCGAAGTAATAGTGAACACTGGAGGAAGAACCAACTTCTATTTTCCACGATACATTTGTTTTTTGTTAAGTGTCCACATACTTTTGTTATTAAGAAACTTTTTCAAAACAATAAATAATTGTTCAGTAGTCCACAAAGTGTTTAGAAGTAGTGTATTCCTATGTTTTCGCTTATGAGGAATTCAACAATAAAGGTCTCATATCGCAAAATTCAAAGGCAATTTTGCAGGACAAAAATTTGAGGTGTCCACATACTTTTGTTACGCACTGTATGCCATCTCCGTCTACATGTTATGGTATGCAATACTTCGGTCAATGGTAGGGTGGCCGCAAGTCAAATTCTATCACCGTTCTCTCGCTGTAGGCTGTTTTCAATCAAATACGCTGTTTCTGGAATCTGCAGATGAATCGCAAGAGCCTGGTTGGCGAAGTACAAAACGACACGAGCGCGAATGGGAACTGTCTTGAGTGAAAAACCCTTATTCAAACAGTTGAGAAATCCAAAATTTGCCCATAGCTAGGCCGACAATCAACTATGTTTGAATAGAACGAAGATATTAGCCAATTTTATACCATGCGGGTATAAAAGCTGGCAGAAAATAGCTGTTTACTATCACATCGTCTTTTCATCATGAAACGCCTTCTTTTCGCCCTCTTCGTCATCGGAGCCACTTTGGTAAGTCAACAGTGATATGCACCACGGCGACTTGCCGGCGGAGGGCATTTTGCTTTTTCTTACGTTATCTGTGATCTGTATCTGTTATCTGTGAACACTTGTTGAGCCGTGAAATGACACCAGACAAAGTTTGTACAGTTGCAGTACAGACAGTTTGACTACCAGTCAACTCTTGCAAATTCATGATGCGATTCATTTCATGAGCCATTTCTTGAGCTTACAAGAATCCTTTCAAGGCATGGCTGCCTCAACCAGTGCCAAAACCTGAAGTTATTGGAAAAGGAAACCAAACAGTGACTGCTGTATTGTACACATACATTTTATACGACAGCAAAAACAGCTCGGAGCACAAGCGCTTTTTAAACGAAACAAAGGTCAGTTACGAAGCGTTTGGTGTCTCACAACTAAATTACAACAACTCTTCTATTCATTTCAGATTAGCGAATATTTCGCATTGATGGGAGACGTGGACGTGGTGTCGCTAGCACGCCATACAATTACTAACTCACTAACTTATTCTTTCAACGTGAAAAACGCTGACTGTAAAAAGGTACTGTATGTTCAGTTTTTTCTGCAACCTTTTTGAAAAAGACAAGCATCAAGAAAATTCTGCTAAACACGGTAGAAGAGCTCGATTATTTTTAAGATAAAACTCTGGATGGATCAAATCGTCCCAAGTTCGCCAATCTATGAAGCCGCCCAAGTATATTGCCCGAAACCGATTACGCCAACACCACCGGTAAGATTGAAGGCACTTTCAGCGCTAAAATAAGGCCATAGTTTCTCAAATGTGTCGGACGATCCGGAACGCTATTCTGGAGGTTGTGCTCCCCTGAAAAAGTGGATATGGGCCAATTAGGCCCATGGGCACCCCTTGGACCCATGCGGACCCTCAGCTGCTAGTTACTAGGTGGTGGCCATATGCCGTCTCTCTCCTTCCGAATGGTGAGAGTGAGGTGATAAGGTAAAAGAGCTTAGACAGCGTTCAGACTTCGCGACGGCAGCGCTTCAGTCGCGTGTTTGGCGCGATCGATGCGCATGCTTTCTACTGCATCGATCGCGTCGAACGCGCGACCGATGTCTGAACGCTGCCTTATATCGTTATGATAACGACGAGTGGAAATTCGTACAAACACGGCTTTTCTTCATTCCATGCACGAACAAGTTCGAGTCAGCATGAAGTCCTATCTAGGCCATTTCGGACTGATTTTTGTGCACCTTTTCTTCAATTATCAGTTAGCTAGCTTGTCGTTGGTATTTGAGCTTCGCTACCCGCAATCTATGGTCGCGCCTTCTTCATTCCTTTCCTTTTCATTCTTCGCCTTTAACCTGGGAAGAAAGTGGGATGGAATGTCAGGTTCGCTATCATCACTACCATCAACGCATCTAGCCAGCACTCAAGGCCTGAAGACAGGTCCCGTCATAATGGTTCGCAAAATGCATCGTGCATTTTGCATTCGAGGCGAATGTACGACTTTCGTCACTCGAAACGGGGAGATAAAGGGCTAGAAAGCGGGTGAGTATTGCAACCATGATTACTCTTCACTCTGCAAGACAACGGCTTACAAGCGGAATCGCCTATAAGTAGCGTTGCCTGGAGCGTCGTAGAGCAATTTTCTATGCTCTTGCCGGGATTAAGTTGCACGTCAGATCCTGCTGACTTGACTTGCCCTCATAATGAAGTCGTCCAGGGCCCTGGTCATACTGCTGAGGGGGTCGCTGTTCAGGGTGTTCCCATGGGTTTTTTCGCTTCTCTTTCTACAGGGGAGTTACGTATGGACTACTGGTTCATGACTGAGCAAATGCCACCCGTAACACTTCAGCGCAGGGACTGTCTTTGAACAATAGCGCAATAGCGCTACTACTAACAATACGCTCTGAGTCTGGTGTTCATTCGAACTCTGAAAGCAGCAATGATAACAAAATCTTTGGACAGCTGATTGACTTTTCAGGATCTAGAAATTAAACCGGTGCCAAAACCTGCAATTATTGGAAAAGGAAGTGAAATGGTTGCGGTTGAAATATACACCTCTGTTGTATACGATTACGATGATCGCTCAGCGGTAAATAAGTACTTAGACTACTTCAACAAAATGAAAGTGAGCAGTAAAGTACTCATCCCATTACAGATCAAGTATTTTTTTGTTTTGCAATTCCCTGATTTCAGATTGAAGAGCACTTAGAATCCATCGGTGAATCAGGAAATCTGGTGCTTTCAGGCAGGGAAGGCTACGTGTACTACTACTTCGTAATAAGGAAAGTGTATCTGTGAAAGGGTATTGTGTGGACACCATTCCTAACACCTTCCGCAATAGACAGATGTCAAAAGAATTCAGCGATTAATGTGTTGAAGATGGCGAAAATTTTTAAGGTAGTACGCTGGCTGCAACAAGTTGTGAACAGTTCAAACTTTTTCGCACGCATTATCACTGAAGGTTATGAAAAAACGACGGACTGCACTCATACGTTGACAAGGAATACAACAACGCAAGATCTATGCCCATGCGTGCAATAAGGAGGAAGCCGACGAGCAATCAAGGAAAATGTGCAGGATTCTCTTTAATCAACAAAATAAATCCTGAGCAACTGGCTTTGTATTAATGACAGCACTACATGAGAAATTCGCTTTTGCTTAGTTAGACATCAGACTTTGCGATGACGCGCATCGACGCTAAATTGCAGCCGCACTCCAGTGCTATAAACGAGAACACAGTCGCATATGGGAATCGATTGGCGCCGGCCGCTTGTGTTCGTAATAGTATAGGATAACTGGAGGGTAGGCGCAGCCTCCCTTGTCCTAGAATTTCGGTCATGTAGTTGAATTGCATCCATAGGTACGACTGGTACCGTCGCAATCTGTCGCGGAGGTGTCAGAGGAGAGATAGAGAGATTCCGCTCCCGTCTGCTTTTCCTATCGATGGTAATCGGCTGGTGATCGGCTATTTAGAAAGAAAACAACCACTGGTAGAAAACGCGGCGGGTGAGCCCATATTCCATGCCTTCTGAAAGGAAGCAATGTCATCCTGTTCTGATAAGACGACGGAAATAACTTCGAAAACGTTGGGTGGGCAAACAGGTGAATAGCGAAAGCCAGAGGTCCTAGCGCTTGGCATACAGCAATAGGTCTTGGAATGGAACTAGCATCTAGCAACCAGGAGCAGTAAATTAATAAATCTAATACCAGCAATCTAACTACCGCTCTTTACTACTACTTTACTTTCTCTCTAAAGCTAGAAAAGGCTAAATTGACCTTAAGACTGGCTATTGTGTTTGACGAGCGCTAGGGCCTCTGGCTTTCGCTGTCCAACTGACTTTCTACCCATCCAACCTTTTCAGGGTTAGGTCAAATTCTCAGATTGGGCCACAGATTTGTTCACGGGGATAGTTGTTTCCCAAAAGGCCTACGAAATGACCACACCTGTTTTAGGCACGGAAAAAGGTTCTAAATGAGTCACGCCTACGGTCCGGAGCACCTCAGGGTCAATGAAGATTTGCTTCACCATTCAGCCGGCGCTCAGTTAAAGTCAGCAAAGGGTAACGAGTGGAAGATTGAGTTGAACTAGAATGATATTTTCCTAATGTAATATATTATACTAAAACTAAATATGCTATTTACCCGCCCCCCCCCCCCGACAACATCGCCGAACCAGCAAGCGGAGCTGCAGGCGGTCTATGTGAAACTCAAACTTATCTGTGGGAGTCCTGACCGGTATAGCCCAGAGCGCAAGGAATAAATGGAGATGAGGCTGCTTCATCATCGAACTGATGAAATCTTAGTAACTACAGAATGCCGGATGAGAGAGTGCAGAGGAAAATAGAAGATCGACCCATTCAAAGGAATCATGTTCAAGTTGCTCGAGAGTCCTGGAGCGCGATATGAATTTCGTGGCGATTTCTAACACCCCTTAGCTCCTATGAGTTCAATGACTTCCTGTCACACATAGTCAATATCCTTATCCCAGCCCTTTCATCTACGCCTGGAACCACGTCCCACGGTTCCCGTGGCGCGCGTTATCGGCTCCCTGGCGCCTCCTTTTCAATCCACTATTAGCTTTATCAATTGCTCCAACTATCAGCTCCTATTACTTGGAGTCCTGTCGCTTGCCATCAGTTTCCCAGTTCCTACCCATTTGGAAACTTGCAACTGAATGGACGGCATGCGTCATTATTCGATCTATCATCACTATCAGAGGCCACGTCCACACTCCGCGGCTCGAGCGATTCAGTGGCGCGGATGCGACTAACCGCGCCCTACCGCCAATTGTTGGACTGTTGCAGCAGACAAAATAAGTTGTACAGAAGAAGTCAAACATACCCTAAGAAATGAATGAATTGACAATCTCAGCTATTCAGTGAATAGCAATCAAGCGAGATCGATTTGATGTCGAATGACGTAATTGCATCACTCGACTCTCAACGAACTGAAGGCGCGTAAACAACAACATTTTATTGCCCAAATTGAATAATAAAAGATGGTATAGATTCGGTTTAATTTCGTAAAGATCTATTTCTTTCTTCAACATTACTACTGAATATTTCTCACATAATTCTGCATTCGTCTACTCGGGAGAGTCTTTCTGGTTTTCGTCAGCCTCTTTCTTGCCCGCATCCACCCGTTTCCGTCCCATTTTACAGCACTGATTTCTCAGCAACTTTTCAGGTAGGTGAATCAGAAACGCTGGCAGTACCTGGAAGCAGTTTCCGCACATGGACAAGCGACGGCGCCACAGGGCACCCACTTAGTTGGGATTTTAGTCGATCGTCTCGACCCCCTTTTCGGTTGGTACGGACCCCTCTCTAACCCCCGCCCCCCTCAGCTCCGCGTTCACACTCTGTCTCTCCTCATCGACCACGTGACACCGTCGAGCGAGGGGGGCGGACAAGGGGAGCGGGTTTATAGAACGCGATAAACTAGGAAAAATTACAAAGTCCGAGCATCCTTAGGGACTCCTTAGAAAGGCCAGACGTTAAATACGACCTTAATCCCTCCCAACAATTAGCAAAGTACGACCTCTCCCGCTTTTTATACCGATGGGTGAGCGAGAAAATCACCTTATCAAATAAGTATTTCTCAGGCCCAAATATGACCCCTCCCTGCGGGCCAAATACGAACGCACCCGCCCCCTGCTGGATTCCCAAACAACATGTTCCAGCGCCTGTGGCATCCGCACCACGAATAAGGACGACTTCCGTCTTCATCCTCCTAGCTCTTTTGACCCCATGCTGAACCCGCGTGACTGCACCATGCTGCATCCGCTCGATCCACCTGCTGTATTGGCCAAGTGCTGCCACCCTGGTGTGAAGCCACGCTTCGTTTGAACTCTTCGCAGATTCCATAGAATCCAAAAGTGTCGGTATATCCTTGAAGTCTTCTGATGAGATGTTTATACAGGAGAATTATGGCGATCGGTTAATTTCAACCTTCGAGATAACGTACGGACCGTTTCGAGACGATACACCAGCTAGTGTATTTTTGTTCATTCTCAGTTACTCATCAAAACCAAAACATGATTCGTGATGACCAGACATAGGAAAATTCGTAGAGTGGTGGTGATTGGAAATAGTTACTCAATTAACTTGCAGTCCAAATTTTTCAACTCTACTTAATTTATCAAGCTTTTTGGCTACTTTCGCATTTTTTTCGGCTTCATCATTTTATCAGGTAACAATATTAAATTTCGCTTGGCATATGTCTACATATAAAAGCAATGCATAATTCGACGTGTATTCATCATTTTTATAACATATGCATATGAACCAGATTCTTATTTTGATTGATACACAAAAAAAATAATTAACAAATTAAAAATAAATATTCTGTGCGCGCAGTCCGCCACATTATGTACGTGCTCGATAAAAGGCGTCGGCCATAGACGCCCGCTTAGGCGTAAACGCACGCGTAAGCACATAGGGTTTGACACACTGCTTCGCGAGAGAAGTCTGGATGACTCCGGTTTTTTTTTTTTTTTTTCAGCGCGGCTGTAGTTGTTGTGCGCCTCTCTCAGTCGCTCCCCACCCCCCCCCCCTGCTTACCGAGCCACCAGAAGGGTCTATGAGCAATCTTTAGACATTAATGAGTCGCTTAACAATTGACATGTGTTATCTCCGAACACACAAACCAGTAGAGATTGACCTTGTTGAAAACCGCTTGACGAACTACGTCTGAATCGCACATGCCACTCCCTCTTACGTAAGATTTCCAGTAGTTTAGTGAACTGTTGTAGTTTGATATGTCGAGTTCAGAAACAGAGGGGTGCAAAAGTAGTCTCTCGCCTCGTAGAGGCACTCTTTGCCAATAGACTCCCTCGAGTGAGGGTGTATAGTTTACCATTGGGACTTGTAATATACACCTCACTCGTATTTCTCCAATCATAAATCCCCTTCACGAAAACAGACCAGGAATCCACCTGCATAACCTCATAATCACCCGACAGCGAGAGGGCCCACAGACCAACGCGGACGTGCACGTGGTCCGGCGTACACGTCTACCCCTGTGCCCCACTGCCTCTGTCCCGAACGAGGGACAAAAATGTTGCCAGAAGAGCCAAAACTAACTTGTACAAATGTCAAAGGAAAGATGCAACAGACGGTCGACAAGCCGGCTTGAATCATTGGCCATCCAACTGTACGTAAGGTGTGCTCTAGCCGTTGTCGTGGGCTTCCCATGCGTATTTTAACGATCTGTCCCTTCTCGAACTCAGTCCTCGTGTCAACCTAAACTAAGGCTCCATAACTCAGCAGCCCTTAGCATTACTTCACAGGAGGGGATAAATCTTAATGAGTTTAGGTTAACCGTACTGACCTGGAAGTGATAAGCTACGTGAGCGATGTAGTCAACACTCATTCCGATTGTCATCAAAAGGCATGCCATTACAATTGGATCGAGATCGAAAGAAAATCGCGACATGATCCCAATAACACCTTGAACGGTATTTCTTTTCAGATTTATCTTTAAATTAAATTAATTCCATGAATTCAGAAAAGAAATTTGGAACTGTGTTTGAACCAGATAAGAACCTTCTCTCAAATATCGCATATCGCGACTACCTAAGGGGTGACATACTTATAGGCTGCAATGCTTCCGTCACTCGGATTTGAACGGAAAGGAGACTAGGGATCGTGACGTGCCCAATGCCCGCTCACAGTCTGATGCCCCGCCCACTCGTTCCTCACGGAAAGTTCACGCAAGGAATGAACATGAAGTAACTTAACATAAAAAATGCCTAAATAAATCAGACGGGATGAAAAGAGAAGCCGCCGGCACCAGTTCGCAAAAGCAAAAAGCCAAAAACTCTGAGGAAACTCGTCCCTACGCTGGCAATTCGTACAAATCTTGAAGAGGTCTGACTCGTTAGCGTTCCCGGTGACCTCCTTTCCTTTCTTTTGCATAAATGAGTCCTTGGACTCCTCTAAAGTCGTATTTTTCCGCCTTCTCACAAATTTGCTTTGCGAAACGTGCCTCTGACGGCGCTGTTTATCGACGGGGGGGGGCATTTTGTACTATCATTGCTTCCCTAGTTCCGGTTTACAAATCTCACTCTGGTAAAACTTGTGAACTCTTGTGAAGCTGAAGCAAGATCGTCTAGCCACTATCCTAAACGTGTCAACTCGAGAAACGGCTACCTAGATGGGTCGACACATCTATGGAAAGCAAAATGCCCCCCCCCGTCGACAAACTGCGCCGCCTCTGACTAATAAGTCTCTAGTCTCTGTGCTCCACCTTTTTGCTATGGGAAATGAACGATGGACTAGACACTTGTAATTTACTGTGTCGTTCGCGCGCGGCGCGCGTGGAAGATTCTCGTTGCGCCAGTTTGCCCACTGGAACGACGAAATGCATGTGAATTCGAGCAGAGGCAAAGCTCCAGAACGGTCGATACCGATGTTTCCCGTCCCTTGAACACTTGTGTTCAAAAAGCCAGATGAGAATACTCCTCTGTCAGGCGCGGCGTCGCTCGCCACGCCCATCAACGTGACGTATTACGATTGTCCTGGCACATACCTATCGGAGATGCCGATCACCATGAATTGGATAGAATCGTCTGACCTACCCGTGCTGATAGAAGCAATTGACACACTGGCTGTCACAACACTGCATGGATTCGGCATAAATATAGCGCATACGATTGTCATCGAGAGCAGGGTCAGCAGAGCGGTCTGGAAGAATGTTCACGCAGTTACCGCTATAGCCACCCGCTTGGTTCCACACCACCGCACGACACGCAAAATTAAAGCGGGCGGCTGAAATACGTTCAAGTTCTGTCAGCAGCCCACGACGACGCTCTCAGCTCTGAGTGGAGTGGAAGAAGGCGAACTGGAGATACCTTAATTGTGGTACTTCTTAAACTCAACATCTGGTCAACAAACATCGCTCCAGCTTCGTAGACAGTCACATTCAAATCAGGATATCTGAATAGCTTTATTTGTCATGATAAGGCTGCGTTCATACTTTGCGGCAACGTCCATCGTCTCCTACCAGGAACCACCAGCCATTAGGAATGCATAAATATCGATCTAACGCCTGCCAGCGTTCCCAGCGTCGGCCAGCGTCCACCAGCATTCACCGAGAAGTATGGGAAAGTAGGGGGTGCCAAACAGCTGCATTAGGGATCGTGAACCGCAATCGCACCGTGTAACGACACTACACAGTATATTGAATTGCATAATTCTACGCTTCAGCGGTTTTGCGGTGCGGTTGCACACGCCGCAATTCACGGCGCCTAATCCAGCTGTTTGCTACCCTCCCACTTCCCATACTCTCTACTCGTTCGCTGGTGGACGCTGGCAGACGGCAGGATACGCTGTTGGACGCTGGCAG